TTTTTTAAGTACGTGACTCCGATACAATTCTTTTGTCAATCCAAGTTTCCGTTTTTTTTTTTTGTTTTGTTTTTTTTTACTAAAACAGCATCGGGAACTGAGTTTGTGTCTCACATGTACACACGTTGCATCCCACCCAGACTAGAGATAGACTGTATGTCCTTGCGCACTTTTATTTGGGGGGGATCTCTGGGCCGTTGAAGGTGTTCCCCGCTAATGGCAACACGCGAGCCAGGGAACAAGTCACTGGGGACAGAACTAAATGGTGCGCAATAGCATGTAGCAGTCTGACAATTGCGGAGGAATGTCAGAGGAGGAATTTATTGTGGAGAGCGAGAACGAGTCTGCTCCATGTTCGCGTCACCGTTGCATTGTGGGAAATGTAGTTTTGGTGCGTGTAAAAGATCTGCGGGCTCTCGGCTTGCTGCGGTCCGCGGGCCGGTTCTAATAATAAATCAATATCATCCCAGGGGCCACTGAAAACATTCTCGCGGGCCGGATTTGGCCCGCGGGCCGGCACTTTGACATATGTGGATTAAATGATGATGTGGTATGGAAAAGTCATTCTTATGTAAGACTGTTTTCATATTTCAAGATCTCTCACTGGATCCATAAAGTCTATCTATCACATGCGTATTTGTTTTTGTTTTTTTTGGATGTCTCGGTGCAACGTGAGATGTCAAACTCATTTCCATACATTATTTTTTACCAAACTGAACACGTTGGCGATATTCTACTTTCCGTTGAAAGTTCAGAAACAACCTTAAATGCACGGGAAGCTTGACTGGTCAACTTCATTTGACCCTTGAACTTTTGCATGCATGACAGCTGATGACTAGAACAAAAATGACGCTAGCCTAGAAGCTAGCCGTGAAACAATTTTAGCCACTTGAGAAAACATCGATTTCTTAACTACGTAGCAGTGCGTCCGGACAAAACAACACGCAAGACGTGTCCGCCCCAAACATCCGTACGTCCGTTTTCTGTTCCGCTTCCAACCGTTCACCGTCGCATTCACGCCATCGCTGAGTGAACCCGCGCTGCCTGCACACAAGTCAAGGAAGGTGGACGGACCAGTGGCCCAAGCAAGAGTAGATTCATTCCTGACAGCACTACCTCAGATTCACCACTAGTTGGCAATATTGCTCCACAAACACCTGTGACTTCCTCCGCTTTCTCTTGTCTGTTGTCAGGCAGCTTAGAAGGGAGAGTCGTTTTACTCTATTTATGTTGTATTGCGTTTTAACACGCAGTTGTGGATTTTTCTTTCGGTGTTTACAATGTAAAAATCACACATTTACGTTGACAGTTTGCGCAAGTGGATTTACTTTGCCCCGCCTGTCGCCCGAAAGCAGCTGGAAGTGGCTTCAGCTCACCAGGGGGAAGACAATGTCTTGAATTTCGTCAACAAGCGCAAGGGGTTGCATCGAGTTGGACTTTTGAGGTTCCAAATGCAGCGGCACGGAACCTACAAACGGAGTGAAATACTCCAGCGTTTCCCAACAAGAACGGAATGAGAAAGAACACACTCTTTCTTCTCAATAATGAGTTCTGCCGCAATAAATCTGAAGAATTTGTTGTTCCCTGTTGCTCTTGGTCGAATTCACAAATGTGTCACATTGCGATGATGTCACGCGATTACACCACTCGCCTCTCACCATCCTGCCTGCGGACCACGTGGTGGTAACACAAGCCAAGTCAGGGTTCGGCGGCCCAAACCATACTGAAATGATATGTCCCACTTAATGGAAACAGCTTCGACGCCCCCCACCCCCCAAAAAAGCCACAATGCGCAGACTGCAGACAGTGCAAAAGATTCGCCACCCCTAAACCCTCGTACGCAGGGTCGCGCACAAAATAAGCAGCACTTGCCGAGGATTGGATGAGCGGAGCCGGTGTGATTTTTCCAGCGCTGGTGTTGACATTACTACTGGCCCAATTTGTTCTGAAATCCAACATTCTCTGCCTAGCACGAGGCAGCGCTTGGTGGTTTTGCTGGTTATTAGGAAACTTGTAATTCCAGCTCCCGAATCCCCTGGTAAAACATGCCGTGTTATTTGCTGACACGATTGTTGGTCAAACCGCAAGCTGCGCGGAGGCTCGTATGCCTCATGAAGAAAATATGAGATCATGCTGAACTGCTCGACAGCAGGCAAAATCTAATAAGCACCTTTGCCACGCAATACTTTGCATATCTTGGGCTGCTCCCACCGCCGCCGCCGCTCAGCGAGGGTTCCCTCAGAGTCGCGATTGGACGGTGGGAGGACCAATGGGCAGGAGTGAAACAGGTTATTTGAACTCTCCAAAGTGCTGCTCGACAAAACCGGAGAACATCCACTGACTTTTCAAACAAGTTTCCGCTCCCCAACCGTGCCTGACGTGCTGGCTTCGCCTTCAGAGAAAAGACCACGGACTATTTCTTTTTTTCCTTTTTTTTTTTTTTTTTTGGTTCGACTTCAACTTTTGTCCGGGATGGGAGCCGACCGCAACTATTTATTTCTGTAAAAAAAAAAAAAAAAAAAGAAACTGCCGATGCACCTGTTGACTCGGGACCAATCTGCTCGCTTGAGAATGAACGCAGGTGCCGGGATGGCATCTCATCCTCTTCTTCATTTGGAGGAGGAACAGAGGAGTAGACTGAGCTGCGTAGTTCACGCCAGCTTAGCAAGCGCTCAGAATGCAGAACTGCTGCAATACAAGGAGACCACCACTCACGACAGCTCCTCCATCAAGTACAGGAGATATGGGTATGCTCCTTTGCTTTTGGAATCAAAGTTTTTCTTCTGAGTTGGGTTTTTTTTTTTTTTCCTGTGGTGCAACATTAAGATCCGCTTTTTCCAACCGTGGCGCCAAGACACATATTTTACTTTTAAACCAAGGTGCACCACCACAATCATGTCACTCGCCCCCACCCCCAAAAAATGCATACAAACTGCCAAAGATTTGTCATAAATTCATTCTTTTCAATGAAACTGGATCATTTCCCAAAGCGCACCTTTTACGACTGCTCCGTCACGCACGCTTGGCGGGAATCCTTGATTTAGATCATGGGATTGTCCTGAAAATGCACGGCTGTTATTGGGTATATTTGATGATGTTGTGCACGACTACAGTCTGAGCTTCTGAAATCCTCCAGATCTCGCTTGGGTGGGGTCAAAGTTCGCCACAAGAGACAGGTGCTGCAGGACATGGCCCGGCCGCTCAAACATTGGCTGTACAAACATCGGGACAACCCGTACCCCACCAAGACAGAGAAGGTTCTGTTAGCTCTGGGCTCCCATATGACTCTGGTACAGGTGAGACAACACGCGCGAACGCCGAATGTCAAGGGGCGCTCCGTTGTACGGCGCTTTCCTACCTTGGTCGTGCCTTCAACTTTGATCATTGTCAAACTCTGTCTAGGTGTCAAACTGGTTTGCAAACGCCCGACGGAGGCTGAAGAACACGGTTCGGCAGCCAGACCTGAGCTGGGCCTTGAGGATCAAACTGTACAACAAATACATCCAGGGAAATGCAGAGAGACTGAGCGTATGCAGTGATGACACCGACTCGGATGGTGAGGGCGACTTTCACCCCGTCAATGCCGCATCACTTCAAACTCAACTCAAGTGTATTTCTAGGTCACCCGAAAACAACCACCGCTGTATACAAAGCGCTGCTTGTGGAGCAAAAATCATTCATACAACAAACAATGAAGTAATAAATTAAAGATGGGCAAAGAGGGGGCTTGCCGAATGTTCAGTGGGTGGTCATTCCAAAGAGAGGCACCGGCAACGGAAGAGGCTCGAGCCCCTCTGAGCCTCCGCTTGGTTCTCGGTACCTCTAATAGTGTCTGGTCTGCAGAACTGAGGCACCGGGCAGAGGTCAGGCCAATTAAAGATTTGAAAACAGATAATAGGATCTTAAAAGGAACTCTAAAATGCATAGGAAGTGGCAGCATTGTGGACCAACTGGAGACGCTTCATGGAGGATTGGCTGACTCCAAAGTAAAGTGCATTACAGCAATCCAGCATGGATGTGACGAAGGCATGAATGACTCTTTCAAAGTACTCTTGAGGAAAGAGAGGCTTGACTTTAGCCAGCTGCCTAAAAAACATAAGAATGATTCTCAGTAGAACGCCGAGACAACAAAACAATAAATCGATATTGAAGACAGTCAGTCGCGAGCACAAAAACAGTCCAACTAAAAATCAAGTCTCGCGCTGAGTCCAAAGGCAGAGTAAAAATGAGTTTGAAAAGACGTTTTAAAGATGTATAGCGAGGGGGCATGCCGGACATTGAATCCAAAGAGAGGGACCAGCAACGGAAAATGCTCGATCCTCCGCTTAGTTCTCGGTACCTCTAATCGTGTCTGGTCCGTAGATCTGAAGCACCGGGAAGGGGCGTAGGAGCTCAGAGAGGTCAGGTGGAGTTAGAGTTTTGTGCTCCCTCTTATGAGTACCAATCAAGAGGCGAGCAGCAGCATTGTGGACCAACTGGAGACGCTTCATGGAGGATTGGCTGACTCCAAAGTAAAGTGCATTACAGCAATCCAGCATGGATGTGACGAAGGCATGAATGACTCTTTCAAAGTACTCTTGAGGAAAGAGAGGCTTGACTTTAGCCAGCTGCCTAAAAAACATAAGAATGATTCTCAGTAGAACGCCGAGCGCCACCGCCGCGTTTAAAGCAGTGAGATCTCCGATTGGATGTTGGAAGATACTGCTGGTGTTACAATAGATGTATTGCTGCAGATGATGACTGACTGTCCATTACAAACCCCGATGTGCTCATCAGACATGGGGAGGTCCTCGTCCCACATACGTGCCATAAAGAACCAGGGCGGCGTACTCACCATGGCGGACCCCGCCAACAGTGATGACAGCGCCTCGCCTCCGTCAAAGTACAAGAGCAGCTTGCTGAATCGTTACCTGAATGACACCCTGCGGCACATGATGGCGGGGGGCAAGGCGGACGGCGTCGCCCTCAAAAGGAGGAGCCACTCCGAGTCCTTCAGTTCAAACGAGTGCGACCGAGACGCCGTGTCCCCGGCGTCCTCCTCCGACACGGAGACCAACTTCATCTACCAAATGGGTAAGAGACTCCAAAGTGTCACTCGTCATTCATATTTCATCCACGCTGAAGGATTTCTAATTCCATGATCCGGCAGTTTCCACAAAACAGGATATTTTGTACATTAGCATAACAAGATTTTGATTAATTTCTCAGTGAACATCAATCTCAGTGGCCGGCGCGGCATTTGGTACCTGGTCCTTCAGTAGGGGATGTGCCCGACTGAATCCAATTTTGAATACCAGCACAAGCGGGTCACAATTCTAGAAACCATGATTATTACAGTACACAAAAACATATAATGGCCTGCCTCTGTGCCACATGCATCATCTAGAGCAGGTCGGATTCAATAATTAGCTAATAACATCCCAAAAAAAAACATTACAAATGGCAATCAAATACATCATACTAACCGGAAATGTTGATTATTAAATTTATTAATGTTTGCAGATTGCTCCAGACGAGTCCAACTTGGCTTAGTCTGAACAATCAATCAAGGGATGGAAAAAAATGCTAACATCACCGTGGGCCAGCTGTGAGGCGAATTACAAATATGATCAGCTCAAAGAAAATAAGTACTATTTTCAGATCATTTCAATTACATATTGCAGAAAAAAAAAAAACTTTAGCATTTACACACGTGTACCGGAAGCAATGCGGTCAAAAGACAAACTACACACTGAATAGGAGAGACTGATGGTGGGGGGGGAGAAAAATAATACAATTTCATGGGGCAGATAATGAAAAGGAGTTTGTAATTATAGGTCAGCGCTGCTGTTCGTGAGATCAGCAAATAAATTATTGCTGTCCCTGACAGCTCACCACTGATAAATCTTCACGTTTGCTCAAGAGGCCCTCAACAGGAGTCAGGAAGCAGACTGGCAACTCTCCAACCATTTTACATTATCCACGTCCTGACAGATGAGCGACTGTTGCCACAAATAACAATCATCATCATCATCATCATAATACAAGACTAAGATTATACAAGAATGAAATTGTTGGGGGGGGGGGGGAGGCCCAATATTACCCAGATAAAATCAGCATAAATGTACGTTCAGTCTAATTGCTAATCTGGCAGATCAATTCCAGTATGAGCAGTATCGTGTGATGATGAATTTATTTATTCACTAATCAACGAGCATGTCATAATCTGAGGGATGAAAATATGACGAGTCCCAACACAAAAAAAGACTTCAGCTATACACAGGCTGTTGCGTTTTGGTCCACGGAAAGTTGTTTTTTTTTTTGTTTTTTTTTTTTGCATTCAATCATAAAAGTCCCCCCACAAGAGTATCCCTTTTTTATTTGTTAATTACAGAGAAAAAAAAAATCCTGTCACTTTTATTTATTTATTTTAAAAAGTTACTTGACTGAGTGCCTGCATAGTTAAAAGTTTTTTTTTTTCCAGGAGCGAAGTGGAAATAAAAATTCAGTACAAAGTGTAGTAAAACCAAAATAGAACTTGACTCTTCAGGTTGCTGGTGTTCAGTAGCAAAGCGACATTAAATCAATACATTTTGAACAATTCTGACATCCATTTACGACAAAGCAGCTACACAGAGAGCCAATTTTTTTTTTCCTTTTTAATGAACATTACTAATAAAATCCCTGCTGCCGCCGCCGCCGCACAAATCCCTTATTTTAAATTTGGAAGGAGTCGATGCTGGCTTTGTCTGCCTGCACACGGCAAATCTAATATCCATACAGGAGTATGTGCCATTTGTTCCGCTTCGGCTTCTTGCCATGGTGGAAATGTCCAGTTGGGCCTTAAGGACAATTACACAATGTCTGAGATTGTATTTTTCCCAGAGTGAGAAGTGAAAGATTCGGGCAAATTCTCAAGGAATAGAGTCGTTTGTCAGCAGGACACAGCAACGTCTCTCAGAGTGACAACTCAGCTTTGAAAGAACACAGCTCGAGAGCGGTCATGTCCGTCTGGCTCCGTCCAATTTGGAGTTTTCTGCTTGAGTCACGTACACGTTGGCCGCACGTTTCTCTCCGTGCCGCTTTCCTACTCGCTCTCGTGAAAAAAAAAGTTACGATTCTAGACTCGGGAAACCGCAATTGATTGCTTACAACACTGCGTTAAGTTCCGTTTTTATGGTTCTCATCTTCCCCGAAAACAAATAAATCTTTCCAGTTGCACGAGTTCTTTTTAGGTTACAGTCGGTGAAAACACTTTGTCTTCGGGAACCTTGAGTTCATCCTCAGACTGACACAAACTGAATATGAGGTATACACGGCCATTCGGTAAAATGCAAACGCGTATGATGCACTGCTTTTTGAAAGAGACGGAGGGACCTCCATCATTGGGATTGTCATCAAAATGTTGCAAATTCATCAGAGATTCTGTCTCCACGACGTATATCTGTTTTGCATTGACGATGAATACGTCGGTGTACCACAATATCGAGTAAAGCTGTTTGAATAACACGTTCTTACAAGTGCAAACGAGATCGAATTTGAAGAGCATTTTTACAAACGATACACACTTGCGTCACGACCAAAAAAAAAAAAAAAACCCCCCGAAAAGACTCAGAGATGTTATTACACTCTTTTATCCGTTCTGATGATTAAGACCTTTGAGAAGAACAAAAGATGCTGTTGGAATCATCTTTGACTTTTTGTTACAGTAAACAAGAGGCTGGTTGTCTTAGAGCAGCAAAAAAAAAAAGGGGGGGGGGCAGGCCACCACTTTTCTTGACAACACAAGGAACACATTACACATTTTAACGCTCATGTTTTCAGCAAAGAAAAACAAAAGATGACAGGTCAAGTTATTTCCCAACGCGATGCAAAGCCAAGCTAGTAAGCTCCCGGTCACATGGGGTCATATCAACTTTGCACTGGCTCGGGGGGTAATGCGCAAAAGTGCTCCCCCTAAACATGTCAGTTAGCACGCCTCAAATCATATTTCCTTTGGACTATTCTGTGCTTTCTTGAACTCATTACCCACCGCGACAGCCCTGTTGAAATGTTTGCGAACACTTTTAATGTATCCCTGCTGGTTATGTTATGACTTTTTGCAACCTTGCGCGACTCCTCCATGGAACTGAAGTGGAAAGTCAGCCTGCCAGATTCATGACAGGTCCGAACGCCATTAAAACACAGGCGTTAGCGGAGCCCGAGAAGGAGAAAACGGCCACAAAAACACGTGATGGACTTTAAAAAGTGATGTCACGACTCTACTCGCAAGGTCACTTCAAACATATCTGTCGAGATTTCGCAGGCTGGAAACGTCACATTTCCATAAAACACCTAAAGTGTGTTTATATTCCAGTACGAGAGACGTGGTGCTTTCTCCCGTGGTCGATACCTCCCCCTGAAAAGCCCAGAGGGCCATCAATGTCACCAGGATTGTGTTTTATTACACACGCAGCTAAGAAAAACCTGCTTGGACGAACGCACGGCAGAACAGTGCCCCCTTTTTGTTTCAAATGAAAACATGCCTGCATGCTGTGTTGGGAGTTTCTCGTTCGCAAAGACATATGGCGACATTAATGCTAAGTCCATCCTTAGTTGCGGTTGTAGATTCAAATAGCATCGCAGTAAAAATGTCTGACAGTTGGACTAAGGCTCCCTCCCGTCAGGGCATTTACGGATGACCTTCCCACTCTGATCGCCGCGAAGGCCGGCACCAGGCGAAACTGCAGGACAACATCAAGTGGGTCTGGATGAACATGAAGCCGACGGCGGTTTCTATGCCGGCGACTTAATGTTCATCCGTCAAGAGTCTTGGGCGTTGGTATGACGCTTCCCTTCGGGACATGCGGTAGCGGAGATGGACCAAACTCGGGAAGACGCCATCAGCAGCCTATGACGATGATCGATAACTCCCTACTGGCTGACCGCTTACAATTTTGGTGCTTCCAGTTTCGCCTCTTTCCACATCTCATTCTGTTCTTGATCATCCAAAACTTCCCACTTTCCGAAGTCAACGAGTTGGCCCAAAAATGGCACGGCCAGGCAAGGTCTATCACCAACACAGCACTGTATGGAAAAGGGAGTTTTGGAACTTCCAGTGTCCGGTCTTAACAAGGAGTTTCAATACTCCAAGGTGAGGCTGGAAATAACCCTGGCGCAGTGCCGACACCCCGCGGTGGCCCAAACCATCCCCGCCGTGTTGGGTGGAAGGATGTGGTCCTCCGCGCCTGCAACTCATCAAGCGGTGGTTGCCCTCAAACATCAGGAGATCGTCGGTTGTATCCAGCTGGGGATAGGAGGCTTGGAACTGGGGGAGAGGAGACCATCTTGGCTGAAAGCAATTTCTTCACAACGCTCACGGCTGGCGGTCGAAGAGGTCCACAATAGGCACTTAAGCAGTCGCGCATGCAAAGCAGGGTCAATGGATGTGGTGGGAAGAGATTGACAGGAGGACACTTTGGTGGAACGGAGGCACATCCAAACAGCGCCCTTATCGCCCATCTGTATACAATGTTCTACCTTAACCCCAACAGTCTCACGCGGCAGACGCAGAAAACCTCGGATGGAAGACTAAGGTGTACCCAGTAGAGGTGGGGCGTGGGGGATTTACGGGGACATCAGCAACAAAGCTGCTGAAAGATCTGGGGATCAGAGGACAAGCTTTGCAGCAGGACATCAACTCAATCTGGGTCGTCCTCTGTCCCATCGTGTGACCACGGGTCGTCCTCACTTTTGAACGTGACGACGACGCCGTCCGCCGTCGCTTTGTTCTCCATGGAAAGTGTTTCCGATCACGTAACTCAAGAAGCTCCTGCTTACAGAAAGATGTGGAACTATAAATACAAGCGTCTCATCTGTTTGATTTGCACAAACGACAAAGAATAAAAGGACAAATCGCTATTTCTGTTTTCATTTCAATTACTCTGTCAAGAAATAGCCTGGCCAAAATCAGAAGTTGTCAAGTCGGTCTGCAGCACGACCGGACAAAAAAAGCAGCAAGGCCTTTCATTCCACTTGCTGCAAAGTTCCCTTTGCAGTAAATTTAAAACTGGCAAGAGGTAAAAACAATGTTTTCTCGCTTTATAAAATAAGAGGTTTAGAAATAGTTTCTTGGAAAAGGATGTTGTGGGCTAAAGAGAAAAAAAAGAATGCCTGAAGACGTTCGGTAGCAAGGGGAAAAAAAAAAAAACCCAACGTGAAAATGATTTAGTCAATTGTTACTCTTGGTTCCCGGCCAGCGAAGAGATCCTGGATGGAATAGTTTGGGCTGTGAGCACTTCAATCTTTCGGTCTAGATGTGATCAGCTTCTTTTGCTTGATTTAGACATACGGAGGGCAGCACGGGGAGCGAGCACTTAGCACATCTGCCTCACGGTTCTGAGGTCGTGAGTCCTTCCTGTGTTGAGTCTGCAGCTTGCCTGAGTTTGCTCGGGGTCCGCCGACATCCTCCCGCATTCCCAAAACATGCACGTTAGGACCATTTCAGACTCGAAATTGTCCATAGGTATGAATGTTTTTTGATCTATACTCGAAATGACAAAAACTACTCACTGCAATCAAATACCAACATCATTTTATGTCATCATAAGCAAATACGAGTTTGCTCACCAAAGTTTTAAATCATGTCATCTATTTCAAATAGTGCCCGCCCCATATAAATCAATCAAAACAGTGAATGTCCAGAATGTCTGTTTCCAATTACGAACATTTATTTGGGAAACTGTTTTCTCCTATCTTGCAGATGCTTTGGACTATACATCATCTAAATCCAACAGGTAATTATTCACGGCTATTTCTACTTGCATCACTCTGAGAATTGTCAGTCAAAGCAGGTCTCGTTGTTGTTGTAGCGAACGAACTCTTATTTTATTTTTATTTCCCATTTCTTCTTGGATGTGGATACAGCGGTCAGCCTCCGGAAAGAGGTCAACAGAGTCAAAGCAACCAAGGCTGGCGAGAGCTCAACGCCGCCGTGGCCCTCACCAGTCTGGCCCACGGGCAGAGCTGTCGGAACAACGCGACGGCGCTCGGCAGCGCCGCGGGGCGCGGCTGCCACAGGGAGCCGCTGTGCATCGCGAGGACCAACATCCCTCGCAGGACGCCCATCGCGGCGCCCGCCTCGGCCCTGAGGCAGAGCTGCGCTTCTGAGCGCTGCGCTCTCACCAGCCGCATCATCCAGAAGTCATCCCACATTTCCGAAGTGCAGACTATCAAAGTGGGCCTGGCTAACAGCGCGTAGGAATTCCACATCAACGTGCGCGAGAACACAGCATGCCTCAACTCTGAGATTTCTTCTTTGCAATGACGAAACTGTTTGTGTGTGTGTGTGTGTGTGTGTGTGTGTGTGTGTGTGTGTGTGTTGTGTGTGTGTGTGTGTGTGTGTGTGTGTGTGTGTGCATACTGTATTCTTCTATGATGCATTTGTGCCCTTTTTTTAATTACAATGTTGCTCATGTATTTCTATTGTGTAAGTTAACTTCTTGGAGACTGGATCATCATCCAATGCGCTTAACTTGACAGCAGCTTTTCAATAAAGTTAACGTGAAGTCTCTTCATCAGTTGTGATTGAGAAGAACCATGACCGTCCAACTTTACAACGGTATATTTAGGAGTGGTGCTGGTCTTTTTAGACCCGGATGGTGGATGTCATGGTATTTCGTTTGTGAGCATGACATCAGTGTGCATTTAACCCCTTGAATCATTCAGGAACAGCCCCTGGGTCACGGCACTGCTATGGTGGTGGGTGGGGGCTGTGGGGGTAGTAAATGGACAAAGACCTGGAAGGTGAGTTGATCTCATGTTCCACTGCACATTTCATCACGCAACCAGTCGCCGTTGGCTGGCAATTGTTTGTTCTGCAGCCATCGCCGCCTTTTTTTTTTTTTTTTCCAACGTCGCCCTGTCGCCTATTTGACGGGGGACAAAAATAACTGCACTGGGTTCAATATCGAACATGAAGGCCATAACACACTAAAACATGCCAAATGTGACCTTGCCATGATGTATTTGTCTGTGTCATTTCAAGTTCTTGATTTTGCGATGGCCGCATTCAAATTGAGGCAACAATATGGAAAGAACGCACTCAGAGATTGTCTTATTGAGTCATTCCTTTGGCCATGACATTTGTAGCATGTAAACACAACGCAAGTCTCTCAACTATAGTTTTCCTCACACTTGACACAAGACGTTCATCATTTGTCTCTCAAGAATGAGCCCCTCAATTGTAATCAATCAATGTTTAAGTAGAACGCACCTCTTGGCTGACCCACACCTTCATGAATGCGCAAACAGTGATTGTCTTTTAGGATGAAGTTCCCCTCGAGTGTTCTGGCTTCGGCATTACACAACACATTAATCACTTCGCTTCCATAATGTCAGAGGAAAAACAAACCAAAAACAAGCTCTTGTTTTCCACATTTTTGGTGGGACATTTTCCAGGTTTGAATGCAATATACAGACGAGTCATCCTTTTCCATTGATATGAATGAGGATGCCATTCTTCTATTCCAGCCAACCCAAAAAGAAAGAATCCAAAAACGATTGGTTCTTTCGAAGATGTAAATATATAAGATAACAAGACATCGCCAAAGCAATATGTTCATATCAGACATGGCTTTTCCTGTGCACAAAAACAGCAAGTAGATGTTTTGACTGAAAAAAAAGGCCCATTTTTCCCTCAAAATTCAAAAATAGGCAAATTTGCAAACGCTGAACCGCAAATGCGTGGCTGCACACTGTATACTTCTGGTGAAAACAGATATGCAGACAACACCTCCCCAAGTTGCGACATTTGCCAAGATGAGAGAATCCTCCTCCGCCCGCAACGCAATGACTGGTAACGAGAGACACCGCATGCCGCAATGGCTGATGGCAATCCAGGAGAAAAAAAATAAATAAACGCCTGGTACACTGTGTGTGCCTTGAGTGGAGAGTGGGAGCATCCTGTTCCATGTGAGCACATCCTGACACCAAACATAAGCTTGTAATCACACATCGACCGCTGCACAGTTATTGGACTAAAGATCATTAGCATGATCTTTCCACTCACGACCTACTTTTATTCACGTTTTTTTTTGTTTTTTTTTACATTTTGTACTGAGAATATTTGCGGACTCGCGTGTTTTCATCAATCGAGTTGCCGGTGGAAAGGCACCCCGCTTTCTCTCTCCCACCTGCTTTTCATTAGGTGGGCCTTGAAATCAAATGGAAAGTACATGACAGCTACATGACAACTAAATAAGAGTGTCGAATGACTGCACCCCGAATGTCATTTATTTCTTTTTGAAACAGGACAATTTTAACAAGACCGAAAAAACACAGAGAATGTCATCCATTGTGAAGGCAGGATTCATTGTGACATTCCGCATTGCGAAATTTGATTGGAAACATTCGCAGAAAGGGACGAAGATAAATTTGCTGGAGAGTGTGAAAACAAGTTGACAAATAACGACAGCGCGACAAAAACTGGACGCTGCGGAGCAGAAAAAGCGACTGGGAATGATTTCTGAAACAATCACCTTGAAGACTAAATATGGACTGCATCACACACAAACAGTAAAATCAAAAATGAAATCATGAGAAACGGTGACTGGCCTAACGTAAGAAAACAGCAAGCTAAGCATTTGTGATAAAGCAGTTAAATGAAACTGGTTTGAATACATTTCTTGCATCGTGAGGTACATAGAGCAAAAATAGTTAAGGGTTTGACAAACTTGTTGAGGAGCAAGATGATGATCAACTAACTGATCAGGGGATTTTGCATGAGACAAAGACGGGATGGATCAATACATTTAATGGATAAGGCCTTTAAATGACCATCCACTGAGTTTACAGTCAAAAGCAAGTAAGTACTGTACGCACAGTGTTGTGGCAAAAGATGAAAAGGCCAGCGGGTGAACGGAGGTTCTCCATTCCCCGTATGAAATGGCGCTACGTGCGGAGGATGGTCAGGATTGGCCATGTCTCCTCAAGATTGGTTCAAAGCGTCTGCTGCATTCTCACGTTTGCTGTTGTAGAGTGACATCACGCGCATTCCACCCTGGCATACATTTAATTCAAACTCTAAACGGGTCCAAAAGCCTTATTTCTACCGGATCCATTGAATTCAACAGAAAGAAGTGTCATGTGCAAAGAGTCCACCCCTGCTCTCGCTTACCAACTCACGTTTTTTCCATCTCCTTCCCGTTTCTGGACTGTTGTCATTTCAATCAAGCTTTCTTTTTTTTCTGTTTGTTTGTTTGTTTGTTTGTTTTGTCCACTCACGGTACGGAGCAATATCCTCCACATGCCCTGCCGCCGCCTTGCTCTTGATTCCCCAGGCGCAGCGTCTGGCCCTGGCTTTCGCTCTCCCAAAGCCCCGGAGTTTGGAGGATCTTCTCTACAAGCTCCTCAAAGGCACACTGTACACCGTCTTTGGTCTTTGCACTTGCCTCTGAATAAAAAGGAAGAAGGTTACCATGAAACAAAAACAAGAAAATCTACAAAAGCCTTTAGTAACATAAAAAAAAAAACGATTCCTTGAATATGTAGGTTTTTAATGATAATGACATTTAAGGAACACAAGTAATGATTAAAAAAAAAAAACAGACATGATGACTCAATTTAGAAAGCAAAAGACATGCAGTGGGCTCACAGTGGATCAAATGGACAACATATTCTTGCCTGGCTCGCCCCAAAGCAACTCATTAATGTCGCTGCACTAAAATGGAAACTCCAAAGCAAAGTTAACGTAATTTCCCAGAGAGGGCAAGAATTAGAAATTCGGGAAAGCGTGTGTGTGTGTGTGTGTGTGTGTGTGTGTGTGTGTGTGTGTGTGTGCATACTGTATTCTTCTATGATGCATTTGTGCCCTTTTTTTAATTACAATGTTGCTCATGTATTTCTATTGTGTAAGTTAACTTCTTGGAGACTGGATCATCATCCAATGCGCTTAACTTGACAGCAGCTTTTCAATAAAGTTAACGTGAAGTCTCTTCATCAGTTGTGATTGAGAAGAACCATGACCGTCCAACTTTACAACGGTATATTTAGGAGTGGTGCTGGTCTTTTTAGACCCGGATGGTGGATGTCATGGTATTTCGTTTGTGAGCATGACATCAGTGTGCATTTAACCCCTTGAATCATTCAGGAACAGCCCCTGGGTCACGGCACTGCTATGGTGGTGGGTGGGGGCTGTGGGGGTAGTAAATGGACAAAGACCTGGAAGGTGAGTTGATCTCATGTTCCACTGCACATTTCATCACGCAACCAGTCGCCGTTGGCTGGCAATTGTTTGTTCTGCAGCCATCGCCGAACCTTTTTTTTTTTTTTTCCAACGTCGCCCTGTCTCCTATTTGACGGGGGACAAAAATAACTGCACTGGGTTCAATATCGAACATGAAGGCCATAACACACTAAAACATGCCAAATGTGACCTTGCCATGATGTATTTGTCTGTGTCATTTCAAGTTCTTGATTTTGCGATGGCCGCATTCAAATTGAGGCAACAATATGGAAAGAACGCACTCAGAGATTGTCTTATTGAGTCATTCCTTTGGCCATGACATTTGTAGCATGTAAACACAACGCAAGTCTCTCAACTATAGTTTTCCTCACACTTGACACAAGACGTTCATCATTTGTCTCTCAAGAATGAGCCCCTCAATTGTAATCAATCAATGTTTAAGTAGAACGCACCTCTTGGCTGACCCACACCTTCATGAATGCGCAAACAGTGATTGTCTTTTAGGATGAAGTTCCCCTCGAGTGTTCTGGCTTCGGCATTACACAACACATTAATCACTTCGCTTCCATAATGTCAGAGGAAAAACAAACCAAAAACAAGCTCTTGTTTTCCACATTTTTGGTGGGACATTTTCCAGGTTTGAATGCAATATACAGACGAGTCATCCTTTTCCATTGATATGAATGAGGATGCCATTCTTCTATTCCAGCCAACCCAAAAAGAAAGAATCCAAAAACGATTGGTTCTTTCGAAGATGTAAATATATAAGATAACAAGACATCGCCAAAGCAATATGTTCATATCAGACATGGCTTTTCCTGTGCACAAAAACAGCAAGTAGATGTTTTGACTGAAAAAAAAGGCCCATTTTTCCCTCAAAATTCAAAAATAGGCAAATTTGCAAACGCTGAACCGCAAATGCGTGGCTGCACACTGTATACTTCTGGTGAAAACAGATATGCAGACAACACCTCCCCAAGTTGCGACATTTGCCAAGATGAGAGAATCCTCCTCCGCCCGCAACGCAATGACTGGTAACGAGAGACACCGCATGCCGCAATGGCTGATGGCAATCCAGGAGAAAAAAAATAAATAAACGCCTGGTACACTGTGTGTGCCTTGAGTGGAGAGTGGGAGCATCCTGTTCCATGTGAGCACATCCTGACACCAAACATAAGCTTGTAATCACACATCGACCGCTGCACAGTTATCGGACTAAAGATCATTAGCATGATCTTTCCACTCACGACCTACTTTTATTCACGTTTTTTTTTGTTTTTTTTTACATTTTGTACTGAGAATATTTGCGGACTCGCGTGTTTTCATCAATCGAGTTGCCGGTGGAAAGGCACCCCGCTTTCTCTCTCCCACCTGCTTTTCATTAGGTGGGCCTTGAAATCAAATGGAAAGTACATGACAGCTACATGACAACTAAATAAGAGTGTCGAATGACTGCACCCCGAATGTCATTTATTTCTTTTTGAAACAGGACAATTTTAACAAGACCGAAAAAACACAGAGAATGTCATCCATTGTGAAGGCAGGATTCATTGTGACATTCCGCATTGCGAAATTTGATTGGAAACATTCGCAGAAAGGGACGAAGATAAATTTGCTGGAGAGTGTGAAAACAAGTTGACAAATAACGACAGCGCGACAAAAACTGGACGCTGCGGAGCAGAAAAAGCGACTGGGAATGATTTCTGAAACAATCACCTTGAAGACTAAATATGGACTGCATCACACACAAACAGTAAAATCAAAAATGAAATCATGAGAAACGGTGACTGGCCTAACGTAAGAAAACAGCAAGCTAAGCATTTGTGATAAAGCAGTTAAATGAAACTGGTTTGAATACATTTCTTGCATCGTGAGGTACATAGAGCAAAAATAGTTAAGGGTTTGACAAACTTGTTGAGGAGCAAGATGATGATCAACTAACTGATCAGGGGATTTTGCATGAGACAAAGACGGGATGGATCAATACATTTAATGGATAAGGCCTTTAAATGACCATCCACTGAGTTTACAGTCAAAAGCAAGTAAGTACTGTACGCACAGTGTTGTGGCAAAAGATGAAAAGGCCAGCGGGTGAACGGAGGTTCTCCATTCCCCGTATGAAATGGCGCTACGTGCGGAGGATGGTCAGGATTGGCCATGTCTCCTCAAGATTGGTTCAAAGCGTCTGCTGCATTCTCACGTTTGCTGTTGTAGAGTGACATCACGCGCATTCCACCCTGGCATACATTTAATTCAAACTCTAAACGGGTCCAAAAGCCTTATTTCTACCGGATCCATTGAATTCAACAGAAAGAAGTGTCATGTGCAAAGAGTCCACCCCTGCTCTCGCTTACCAACTCACGTTTTTTCCATCTCCTTCCCGTTTCTGGACTGTTGTCATTTCAATCAAGCTTTCTTTTTTTTCTGTTTGTTTGTTTGTTTGTTTGTTTTGTCCACTCACGGTACGGAGCAATATCCTCCACATGCCCTGCCGCCGCCTTGCTCTTGATTCCCCAGGCGCAGCGTCTGGCCCTGGCTTTCGCTCTCCCAAAGCCCCGGAGTTTGGAGGATCTTCTCTACAAGCTCCTCAAAGGCACACTGTACACCGTCTTTGGTCTTTGCACTTGCCTCTGAATAAAAAGGAAGAAGGTTACCATGAAACAAAAACAAGAAAATCTACAAAAGCCTTTAGTAACATAAAAAAAAAAACGATTCCTTGAATATGTAGGTTTTTAATGATAATGACATTTAAGGAACACAAGTAATGATTAAAAAAAAAAAACAGACATGATGACTCAATTTAGAAAGCAAAAGACATGCAGTGGGCTCACAGTGGATCAAATGGACAACATATTCTTGCCTGGCTCGCCCCAAAGCAACTCATTAATGTCGCTGCACTAAAATGGAAACTCCAAAGCAAAGTTAACGTAATTTCCCAGAGAGGGCAAGAATTAGAAATTCGGGAAAGCGTGCAGACACGCATTTAAAGTAACAACATTTAAAGCCTGTCTAGATGAGAATCACAATGCAAATGATCTGGGCAGGCCGCATCCAAGCAAAAGAGCAAAGCCGCGTAAATCAGGCCAGAAGCACAAATCAAAAGCATGACTTGCTGAGTGATGCGCAGGCCTTTTCCAACTGTGTAACGAGGGCTGGGTGATTATGGGGAAAATTATATTCACATTTATTTGGACTGAAATCACGATTAATACACAAACACACGTACACACATGCGCGCACACACATTCATGACAATTACATTTCGATTAATTGCCCAGCCCGATCCAAAATGGACACTTACCAATAAAAAGCATTGCGTGCTTTCTCGCAAACTTCAGGCCTTCATTTCTGTCCACTTCATGGTCATCCTAGAAACCAAAAACATTTTTTAACATGTACACAGTGAAAAAAAAAAGTCATTGAATTGACTCCGTTTTATTTCGTCAAGTGGTTGCCCAAAATAAAATTCTGATCATTTTATTTTGGGCAACCACTTGACAAAATTTAATTGAGTCAATTCAAAACCAGTTTTTTAAAAATAGATTTCACGATGACGGAACTCGTTATGGTGAAATGTCCTACAGGAATATAAATGTGCTTTCATATTCGTAAGAAGAAGTGTCAACTGTGGAAGCAAATTCTCTTTGCACTCACCCGATCAATCTTGTTGCCTACAAGCATTTTTACGATATCGTTGCGAGTTGTGTAGGTTTCCAGTTCATTCAGCCAGTTTTCCAGCTTTGTGAAGGTGTCGCGCTTTGTAACATCATATACTGTCAACCCCAAAAAAATAATGAATAGAAACAGACAGCGTTATGCAATTCATGACATTAAATCAGCCTATTTACTGTGCTTTCTAAGATTACAAGTCATATATAATCAAATGACAGTTTTTATGTGATGCAAAAAGAACTCTACAGCAATAAAATTATCGGAAAAAAAAAGAAGAAATTGTGGCACACAGATTTCTGGAGTGTGATTGAAAAAAAAAGCACTTACCGAGTATGACTCCCTGGGCGCCACGATAGTAACTGGGTGTGAGCGTACGAAACCTTTCTTGTCCAGCTGTGTCCTATATGAAGAGGAAAAGTTTTTTAAAAAATGGCAGACATATTGGGCAAAAATATTGAAGAAAAAAATATCCATGAATAGGTGAATCCACGGGTGCCGAACCGCAAGTTTGTGAGGGTCCACTGTTTTAATATTGTAGAATCTCCCAAACAGGTCTTAAAATAACGTCGTTTAACGACAGTACTGATCAGGGGCAATTGGGAATTTCAGGAGAATTTGGGGATTTTCCCAAACGAACGGTATATATCAACCCTCCCAATGATAACGTATATTGTGTGCTTATTTAAAATGTTATTTTTATTATTTTCTCTATCTGGCTAGGAAGTGTGCAGTCCTATGTGGGACCCCAGAAGGCCTGATGAAAAACTGTAGCTCCCTCCATCATTTAAGTTGCCGATCCATGTTCTTAGGTACATACAGTGACGTTGAAAGCCCTGTCAAGAATATTCTAGTTTACTTCTCTAGGAGAGTGACGCAAGTCTTGCTCCATTAATTTGGGTGCTGTACTGTACAATGTCGCAGCCCAGTGGACAGATATTGCACTGCATCATGTTTTTCATGATGCCATAGTTAAATAAAATGTCAACAAAATAGATCGCACTTACCCATATGGCGAGTTTTGCTTTATTCCCGTCGATGGCCAGTGTCTTCACTTTGAAATCCACACCTTAATCGGTGTGGGAAAAAAAGGGGGTTTTAGACGATTCCGAAAATGTTCAGTTAGAAACATGGAAAACTTGCGAGTTCATGTGTGGCGTATACTGTACCTATTGTCGCTGACTGCTCCGGATCAAATGTGTCTTCTGTGAATCTCAGGAGAAGGCTGTGAGCAAAAGACAGGCAGGTAATATACGATGGACGAAACCCTTTAAACCTTTTATGTAACAGTGGGCATTCCAACTCGATGGCTATAGACAACAACGATGGGCATCAGCCAAAATAAACAAGCAGTGAAAAGTAGGCATAACACGTGTTTTAATAATATTACACTACTGACAACACTACTGACAAAGTTGAATGACCTTGAAAAACATAATAGCGTTACGTGGCGGTCGAAACGGCCGCCGGGCAAAACAGTGCTAAAAAAACTAATGACAACAGACTTAACAGTGCTAAGCTAGCAAGCTAGCTCAGACCAAAACCAACCTGGACTTCCCCACTCCACTTTCGCCGATTATCAACAGTTTCAGAGTTGTCAGTACGTCGTCATCCATATTTAGCGTTAGTTACCTAGGTATTTTGCTACGCTTTTGAAAAACAATGTACAGTGTGCTTAGTTTGTTTTTCCCGTGCGTAGCTGTTGACGGCGTGCACAGCTTCCGCCCAACGTTTACGTCTGACGTCACCGATAACGATCACATGAAACAGTCGTCACGTTCCTAAAATATTGGCATGTCAAAACTGAACACAGGCTACTTCAACTCTATTCCCGAAATAAAGGTTAAAAAGTATACCCTAAAATGTAATAAATTCCAAAAGTAAAATTCAATTTTCTGGAACTGCAGGAATTAGTGTACGTGAGAGAAAGATACATTTTCAGTGGAATGTGTGTGTGTGTGTGTGTGTGTGTGTGTGTGTGTGTGTGTGTGTGTGAGCAAAAAGAGATTTCTTCATGCTGGGGTTTTGCTTTATTGTATCCACATAATTTTTATTACACAAGATTTGCCAATCACATGGATGTGTAATGCGATCACAAACAGGTTTTTTTAATGTGTGTATATATATATAT